GATGAACAATATTGAAGATAACGGTCTAGTAATTGCATACAAACGTGTAATGAATCTTGTGATAAATGAAAACGACAATAAAATAGTTGTATTAGCCATTCGACCAATATTGTTCGATGTTTTAGTGTCATTTTCCATGTTTTTGATGGTATTGTTGTCCTTGTTGATGTTACTTGCAAGTACGAATTATCAATTTGATAATGCGATTCGAGTGCATAGAGCAAATTCATTATATCGCGAATATAATTCATTACATATATTTCACCATTGATCCTATATTCATCTTCATCTAATTCGTCATTAAAATCGTTATCACTTGTCGATGGTGGTTCAATTATCACAATTTTCAATTGTTTAATTATGATTATTGATGCTGTAGATGCTTCTTCTTCCATGATCATTGCTTTTAGTTTGGAAGAAGGAATTACTCGTTGCTTCAATGCTCTTCGTTGTTCTGGTGGTTTATTTTCTTGATTATCAACAGCAATTTCTAAATTTTTGACTGTTTCTGTTAATGATGAGACAATAACTTGCTTTAACATTTCGCTTTCTTTTGTTGAATTTTCACGTGATGATTCGGACATAATAACAGCCAATTTTTGAACAGATCGATGTTTAAAAACAGCATTTTTCATTACACCACTACCAGCTTTTTTCTGCTGTTGTTGTTTAACGTTTAACGTACATTCAGAAATATTTAATTGTTCTTGTTTATGACTGTACATATTTGTTATTTGTTTTAACGACTTTTGATAAGCGAATGGTGCTGAATGAAGAGAAAGACGGATCTTAGATTGACGAAGTAATGATGCTTTTGTTGGACGAGTTGAAGTTGAAGGCATGGTGCGAATTGACTTCGATATCTACTTGTACAAACGTATAACAAATATTCTGAAAGTAATAAAAGAAAATAAAATGTATGAACGATGCAACAAAATACGAAATGTAGAAAACTCCTACTCTAAGAATATGAAATCAAACAAATAAAATATCTCAAGCTACCATGAACTAAATGTTTATAATGTTCTCTAGAAAGTCACGAAAAGCATAGAACACTTGTTTGATCTCCGAAGCCTGATGTCTGTTAAAGACTACACACTTTGAACAATTCTTCCCCCCCCCTCGACGTCAATCGAAACGAGTTTTAAATAAAGTATAGATTGTCGGTCTTAAAACAGTTACTGTACTTTAAAAAGCGCAATGTTCTGAATTAAACTTATTAATTGACAGAAAATATAACGTGGATATAAAAACAGATAAAGGAAAAGGAATCAGGCTGCTAAAATTTATATAGAGAAATAATAAATACAATTATTTGAGAAGACAACAAACACAAAAAGAAAATGAATGAACAAAAGGATTACAGACATTACCCAACGAACATTTGATTAGAGTATAAAGAAATATATATAATCTGTTGAAGTCAGTTGAATCAGAAAATGTCCGGGTTTGAAGCGCTGTTTTCCCGGGCTGCATAAGCAGTTTAAATAATTATGATTTCTGATTGTATAATCTTCTTGACCAATTAAATAAGAAACAACTCAATGCAATGCAATCCAGAATTGATCAGAGTAGCTTAACTTGATAGGCCATGTTTATGATTAGACTACATACTCTTTAGAACTCAAATTCTCCATATTTTTGGTCTGTTCGATGTAACAGCTAACTTAGCGACGTGAGGATCAGTCTGATCTACCAATAAATAAACTACCGCAATAGCTAGAGTTCCCAACTGTAAAAACTCCAATGCGGGACAGATTAATTTAGAATGAGGCACCATTAGAAAACCATAAGGGAAAACAACTAATAACAGCGTTTTATTCTTTTATTTCACCGTTTTTCCTCTCTGTGTGTGATAGAACAAAACAAAAAGTCATCTTCATTACAAACAAGGTAGAATGTGTCATTTATGCATTTTTTCATAGGTGGAACGTGAGAAATTTTCCAAATGAGGGACATCCAGAGGGACGGATTTCTACGAGAGGCAAATCTTCAAATGAGAAACTGTTCCTTGTTTGTGTAAGTGTACATAGATTCACTAAAGCCCTTGTACATCCCTGGACTTTTCAAATTCAATCTCTGTCCAGTATAGACGATCACTACTGTCTTTTATTTTGGTAGCCGGGTCAAATCCATTTTTAAAAAAGATTATCGGATGGTAACTTTTCTTTTTACCGCGATAAAAATGGTTTTCTGAGATGAACTGTCAGTCTACCGACTGTTGTACAGCTAGAAAAGACTTAAAAATAATATCATACTTGATTTTAAAATAGAGAAACCATGTTTCTCTGAATTTCTTTTCATCTAAATTGAACTAGGACAATAACAAGAATGATTTTTGTATCTCTTGCAACTATTAGGCTTAAATTAAACGTCAAGCTTTTCTTTGCCAAGAAAAATTTATTAAAGCATACACTTACAGTTTTCCGTTCAGAGATTTATGGTAGTTTTTCTTGTTGTAGATTGAAATACATAAAAATAAATCTTAATATTCTGAAAAAAGATAATCATGTTTGGTGGCGCACAAAGTCGAGCGGGTAGCCGAAATTTGGTCGAATTCAAAGCTGGAAAAATGCACTTACGCGGCAGTATGGTAAGCGAGATGCGTTTGCTCTAAGAAAATATTTGATTTCTAAATGATGTTTTTAATTTTGTTTAGGTTCATCCTGATAAACGTAAAGGTTTGGTTTATTTACATCAAGGAAATGATACATTAATGCATTTATGTTGGAAAGATCGTGGTAGTTCAAATAGCGCTCCCGAAGATGATCTCGTGATATTTCCAGATGAAATTGAATTTAAAAAGGTGACACAAAATACCACTGGTATGTACACGATCAAAAATATAATTCAGAATTGAAATGATTAATTTCTTGCGATAGAAGATTGAAATGTCTGTATATATTTTAGGTCGTGTTTATATATTAAAATGGAAAAATGCTGCACGTAAACTGTTTTTTTGGATGCAAGAGCCAAAAGAAGACAAGGATGAAGAATTATGCAAAAAGATTAATGATCTGCTCAATCATCCACCAACACCGGGAATGTCGTTAGATGAACCTGGTGCAGGTTCGAGTCATCCATTACAGGCTGTCATGGAAAGAATGTCGGCAGGAGGCGGTGGCGGCTTAGATCCAAATGATCTATCAAGTGTTTTACGTAGTATGTATCTAGATTTATTTTTATTCTACATGTTTCTTGTAACTTTCCGCTTTATTTCAGCTATGAATCCCAATCAATTAGCGGAATTGATTAATTCATTGGGTAATGGAGGTGCTGGTGGAATGATGCCAATGCATACACCACGCGGTCATAGCACATTCAGTGCAGGAAATACCAGTAGTCAACAGCCAACGCCATCTTTATTAGATTCATTTGCTCAAGATGCATCTTCGAGACCTAATACCGCTGTAAGTTTGGAACTAGCAGTTAGAACAAGAAATTAGATTCTGTTTGTTGGTCTTAAATTTAGCCGGCATCGACAGCTTCTGCGACACGTGCAACGGGTGCTACTGCAGCATCATCAGCGGGTACGAGTGCATCTGGATCTTCGAGACCACCAAAAGAGACACGAAGTGGTGAAAATACAGGAACAACATCAGCAACAAGTGCTTCAAGTAGCTTAACAGCAAAACCTGCCATACAATTAGCAGCATTACAAAGTATACTTAGTCAGTTAGATGGACAATCAGCCAAATCATCAACCGACTTGAATGATATTATGACTGCAGAAGTAAGTACAGTTGATTTATATTGATCACAGTTGAAGAAGAAAGTAAATTTCATAAACTTCTTAGACCTAAGCCTTTCAGTTTTAGTGAACTGTTTTTACTCAGGCAAAAAATGAACGAGTCATCGATTTTTTGAATTTAGATACTTCAGACTAATAAAGAGCTTTTTTCGAAATCCTTTTTCTTTACTGGAAAAATTGACTTTACTGAGCACGTCTCCAAGACGGCCAAGTTCTTTTGTACTATTTTCGCGAGTTTTGTTTCAAAGTACAGGGTTTCCAGAGGGTCTCTGATGGTTTTGCCGATGAAAAGCGACTGAGGGCTGCCACTTTTGGCTTTTAGTTCCTTCTGTGATCCTAGTTGAATGTTCCGATTTGATTCTCCATCATTTCTAACTCATTCTGCGTTATCAGAAGTGACTTTGAAACAAAACTCGCGAAAATAGTACAAAAGAACTTGGCCGTCTTGGAGACGTGCTCAGTAAAAGTCAATTTTTCCAGTAAAGAAAAAGGATTTCGAAAAAAGCTCTTTATTAGTCTGAAGCCTGGCCTCTGGCGAATCCAACCATGTAAAAGTTTTGGCACTAGCTTCTTTGGGAAAGCTTGAATTAGGGCCGCAAAGTTTGATGCACACTTTCAACACGTACCGATTTTAGACACCGGAAAAAATTCATTTGCGGTCCTAGAAGTCTGAAAGTTGCTTTTCTAGATTCAGTTTTCAGCGCTGAATCTGAAACATTTAACCTCAAAACTCGAAAACGAAATCCGGAAAACCTAGGGTCACTTTTTTTAAAACGTAGATTTTTAAGGTTTTTGACATGCTCCAAGTATTTTGAGGATATCTTAGCGAGGAAACTGTTTTGGAAGATGGGGGCGTGATATTCGTGATTCTCATTCAATTCTCTATCGAATGATGTATAAACGAGCGAAATCTAATAAATCTAAATTCCGCTCGAACTCTGCTTTCCGTGCATCTTAATTGCTGTTGTTACCATAACAATTTTAAAACTTATGCTCATTAATAAAATTAATGTTTCTAATATAAGTATTTTAGCTATGTAGATCTTTAAGTATATTTGATATTTTCCATCAAAGAATCAGTTTATAGATAAGAAAATATTTATGACAGACCTGCCAATATTGAAAAACCTATAAGAAATCTTTTTTTGTTACTATAAGATACCAAAGTTATAGTTTCCTTTTCTTTGACGTTTAGAATTTGGTACCACTGTTAAGTAATAAAGATATTCAAGAAAAACTAATTCCGCATATGCCTGAAGGCGAAACACTACTGAAAACCGAATCTGATTTACGTCAGTCTATTCAAACACCGCAATTTCGTCAAGCTGTTAGTGCATTTAGTGTTGCATTACAGACTGGTCAATTGGGTCCTGTTTTATCTCAAGCTGGTTTACCATCGGACGTTATTCAAGCAGCTAACAAGGGCGATATTGATGCATTTGCAAAAGCCCTGGAAAAATATTATAAAAAAGATAAAGATAATGATACGAACGATAAAAAACCGTCTAATGATGGTACAAACATGGACACTAGTTAGTTCTATTACAATGTTGCCATAGTTAACAGTAACTTTTCCTCGGATTTTTCTCGCTAATTATTATGTGTTTTTTTTTTCGTGTTATTTCTCTTTTATTTTATTAAAAAAAGTTTTAAATGAATTTTTCTTTTATTCATGCTATTTTTTGTCGTGATCTTTATATTTATTAATGAAACATGATTTATGCGCGATTCGCTTTTTAAAAAGTAATACATTGTTTTTTTGGCCAATTGAAGCAAGTTTTTCATTCTTCAATCCACTTTTAAAGTTAGTGATATTGATGCCATATCTTATTTGTTCGACTTCTAAGCCACTAAGTGGTTTGATGTTAGGTCTATTTTGCACTAATCAAAATCAAATCCTTTGTAGAATTTTTCTTTTAGTCAATGTTGAGTGAATTCAGTAAAACGTTTTTAGAAGCTGATACCGAAAAAAAATAAAATGATTTGTTTTGATGATTTTTTACGTATTTTCCTATTTATGAGTCTTTAAGTCATAAAAAACGAATGTTCCATAACAATGAGTACACCAGTCGCCCGCACCAGCTGGTACTGCCACTACTTTTATGAGGTTATAATGGACAATGAATTATAATCGTTGACAGTGATGTACATCACGAGACATTTTACTCGACCAGAACTGTGATCTAGACATAAAAAATATATCAAGTGACTCATTGTTTCAATCCGAGATACCTTTTTTTCTATAAATTGTTGATGACCGGAACAATTTACTCTCGCATACGTGGAACAAACTTCCCACGAACATTCCACTACGCAATATTGTATGGTATGTGTATGTTAATACATCATTATTACAAATACTTAAAATTGAATGGAGCCCACGTATATCTGTAAAAAAGAGACTATTTTTGCTTTTTGTTAATGGGGGATCCTCCCACCCAGTTTTTGTCGACCAATTTGTAGAGCACACCTTAAAGCATATACTTCAAGACTTTTTCGGTTTCTGGGATCTCTACTTTTTGAGAAAATTTTTTACGTTCTGCATAGATTTTTTGCCCAATTTTTAAAATTTTCAGAAATACTTCATTTTTCGAGATGGAACCTTGAATCTTTCGTCATTGGCGAGAGCACATTGAGATCTATATAGAAAACAATTTTCATCGTTATCAGGTTAAGTCTGTCGGAGAAACTTGACTTTGGCTTGCCCATATCATTTCTAGCACAAAAAGTATTTTTTAAGAAAGCTTTGAACAGTGTTTCGCTTTAGGAAAACAATATGGAACAAAAGTGTTGGAACAAAAACTGTTCAGCATCAAATTCTGCGTGAAACAACCGAAGAAATTTTCGAAATTTCTTAAACTCGATTTTTAAAGTCCAAAAGACTGGCTTTTAAAGTTTAAATTTTCGTAAAATTAAATTTAAAAATTGAGTTTCATGAATTTCAAAAATGTCTTGTTATTTCACGCAGAATTTGATGCTGAACAATTTTTGTTCCCACAGTTTTTCTTGAAACTGCTTCTTTCGAGCGAAACTTTGTTCAAAGTTCTGGACGATTTTGCGCCCCGAGACTCTGAAAATCTTTATTTTTTTCGATTTTTGACACGTCTATTTGATTTCGTATGTGGAAGCGTCTATGTTCTATGAGTTGAAGATTTTCTGAACACTATTTTCTGGCTGCGAAGAAAAGTGAAAGTAACGTAAAAATTTGAGCGCCTTTTCTCGGCAGTGCGAAATACATCCAGGCAAGACCTCGAAAACGCACACTTTTGGCTCCAAAAACCCATTCTCAAGGTTAAATCCTAATTTCTCCTCCAAACCTTGTACAAGAATGATGACAATCTTTCCACATATACATTTCGATGCGCTCGATCGATTGGTTACAAAACCGAGTTTTCAAACTGAAAAGTAAAAATTTTATTTAAATTTTAAAAAAATGGTCGAAAAAGGCCGAAAAAAATTAAAAATTTCTTTCTAGAAAACTACAAGTCCGTAAACCTCCAAACTCTTTTCATATATATTTTGAAGTGGAAACTACAATGTGACAAAGTTTGAATCAAATCTAAAAGAAGTTTATAAAGAAGAACGAATGATTAAAAGTCATAAAAAAAATTTTTTTTTTCTGGAAATGTATATGTAAAAAAATTGTTCGTTTGGAGAAAGTTCAGCGGCATTCCCGTACTCTCTCTTCTAAACTCGCCACTGTTATGAATATGACTTTTTTATATTTGTTTGTCTTAATGGTGCCATCGTTTTTCTTTGTAAACTTTCTCGTAGAGACTCTGTCTATATGTACAGGAAAAAATTAACATATAAATTATAGCTTTTTTTTTTGACGTTATTTTTACACTAATAAAAAAAAAGATAAAAAGATAAAAATGAAAAATGTTTCTTTTTATCTTATAAAATTTCCTCTTCTAACTAAATATTATGTAAGTATGAACAAACTCAGAAATGGAATGAATCGCATTGATAGTATATATTCACTCAGAATTCGGTTATTTTCCTTATTCTCATATGCGTTTATGTATGTAGCTATTCTAGTGTTGAAACTGTTGAGTTTCTGGAACTCTTACCTATACTTACGTTGAATTCCAGCAAATTAAGAAGTGAAAGTAATGCATATTTTTCGCTTACAACACACTCACTGCTTATAACTCTGTTTTGTTTACTAATGCATGAAATAAACTAATATCGCTCTGCTATACATCGTAATCAGTACTAATGCATAATGTGTAGAAGTAAAATTTATCTTAATTACTTCCATGTGCTAAAATGAAATAGAACATAAAAATATTGGGAGTATATCGAATTACTGAAAAATCTGTAGATCCTTAGAGAACTACACAATCCTCAATTTTTTTGACAAATCTATAGGTTCTCTGTAGATTTTTGCACCTTTTCCGTAATATATTTTACATGAAAAATCAATACGATTTATGATATAAGATACGTATGAGTATGGCGTGATTTAGTCCTTTTCTTCTTTTTCTCTTTGTTCTATGAATCAGATGATCATGTTACCATATTTTTTGTAGTGATATGATGGCATAGAGGAAGAGAAAGACTTATAAGATATATATTTAGTTTATCATGATATTTTTTCGTCATATAAAGATAAAGTGAAATGACATTTTTGCTCATCTACAAATATAAGACTGAAAAGAGTGTGAAAAACTAATCAGTTGTATAAGAAACCAAATTAAGATATGGTGAGAGATACATGTGAATATGACTTTAAATATTTCGTAAAAAATATAAATTTTGACAACTGTTTCTCTATTTAATGTTTTCAAGGATCATATTTTTTTCTTAAAAATAGTTCAAATTTAGTCATTATTGATGGTCTTTTTTTTAATAAGAAATAGTTAATGTTTGACAAAGAATTCGTGAGTACTATGTAGTTGTTTATTTAGTATATTTGATTAAATACAAGTAGTACTGTTAGGAAACATCTTTCATACATTATTATTTTTAACTGTAGAGTAGAAAACATTTTTCTTTTTTTCTTCGTGATTATTATTATCATTCAAACTTTTATTTTGTGACCACTATTTGTTCTACTTATTTTATCGTTTTAACATGAATAAATATCTGAAATCAAATTTAAAATCATATCTTTATGACTCACATCATATTTTTAAAGTTAACGATGCAAATGAGGAGTTCATTCAGTAAAGATAACACTTCCTTATTTTACATTCAGATTCTTTGATGAACTTCTACTTTAGATAGGACGTGGCAAATGGATGGATAGTAAAGAGTAAAAATAGAATTTTTGCAATCTCTACAACCTACTTACTTTATTTTCTTCATTTGCCTATGGAAAGTTGTCCACTAGAAAGATTTTCACCCTTAGAGTGGAATGTATTTGATAATTATGAGTAAATAGCTTGATCTAATCAGGTTTTTTTATGAGCCTTCTCTTTAAAAAACATCATAAACATGCTCTATTAGCAGTTGAGTGAACAGACATATTTACAGCATTTTATATCTAATTGCGTCGTCTATTTCGACGGAAAAAAACTAAAACTTTAAACATTTTTTCTATCGTTAAAACTAACAAATGTGAAGAAAGATAAAGACGGTAAACAAACACACAATTCCTATGTATATTACAATGAAAATAAGGGCGAACAGACAAATGATTTTGTCGCATTCTTTCGATGAAATTTATTTCCGCATAAAAGATGTAATCACTTTTTTTTCTGTTTTTATTACTTTAGTTAGTTCTAACAAATTATTCTATTCATTTTGCACGTCTATCTATGCATGTCTACACACTAACACATGATGAACACCATTCGTAACGCTTCGTTTTATATAATGATAGTAATCACTTAAAGCTTGTAATTTAAATTAACAAACTTTCTCATTCAAGATCTCTAAGAATACTATGTTTTATTCTAATTCTTTTTAGGTTTTATGAAATATATAGCCTAATTTAGTTACAAATATGACTGTTGATATACGAAAAAATCAACTACATCATCGTTATGCTCATCACGAAGGCTATTTTCGTATGGGAAAATCAATTTATCATATTTTAACTGTAAATCCAACATTGACACTTGTATTCATTTTCGTATTTTATTTTCAATTTATGGATTTGATTTTATATTTTAAAACTCGTAACAGAGGATCATTAAACTTAAACGAAAATGATATTTCTTCAACAATTGCAACAGAAACAATCTTTTTTAACTCTACAAAATTAACGTCTTCATCCTATTTATCATCATTTGTTCAAAAACTCACAGAAAAATATAATAATAACTCTGAAAAAATATCAAAACCAATCGAAATTTATGATCCATTACCAGTCAAAAAAATTATGGTTGCACACACTGTAAGTTATCGATGATAATAGTGTCATAAAATCTATTTTATAGTAATGATTTAGGTTCAATACATTCGATCACCATTAGCCGAATATACTGAACATACACTTCATTTTACAGATTACTTTCCATTTATATCAGCTAATGCCATATCATTTTTTCATTGTTTTTTGTCATTAATATCCATGAAATTTTTATCACACGATTTATTAATTCATCGACAATTTGGTGTTATTTTGTTTCAAATACGAAACTTTTTAGATTGTCTTGACGGTGTTGTCTATCGTGCACATACTAAAAAAGCACGCTACAAATCATATTACGGTTCAGTTGGTTATTATGTAGACGCCATTAGTGATATATTTGGTGGAACTTGTTTAATTCTTAGTTGTCTAATATATTTTTTTAAAAATCCACCATTTCGTACGTCAAATATAACATTATTTTCTCTTCTACCATCACTATCACGTACAACACGAACAGTTAGTTCAACATCAGCTTCAAGCGACGTTGATGAAACAGATGCAATGTTGTTATTATCCAATGGTGATACAAAATCAGAAATAGATTATGAAAATGATGATAATCGAACAATTATCAATATGCGAAGTTCATTACCATCTTTGTCTCCATCATCTTCTTCTAATCATTTAAATAATTTGCCATCATCAACAGCAACAACTGTTTTACAATCACTACCCCTAGGACTACAATCAGCAGTAGAATCAAAACAGACAATATTTTTTACATTGTTACTATTTTCATTTCGTTATTGTCTGAGTGCCATGTTTTGGGATAGAAGTGTTCATTCATACGAAGATTTACTTGATTCACCAGTATTAACAACTACGCAACAGGTAAGCATGCAATAAGATAGATCAAATGTCTGTTTTGTCGAATTTTGCTCTTTAGAAGAACGTATTATGTTTAAAACTTTCTATATGGTTGTCTATTTTTGTATTTTTTAGACTTTACAATTGAGCATTCTTCACTCTCCTTTGACAATTTTAATCATGTTTGTATGGCGTTATATGTGTGCATTAAGTATTCAAGATTATCTGTTATTTGCCGTATTTATCAACAGAAGTTGGGTATGCGATATGATTCTATTTATTAATATTTTTTTTTAATGTTTTTCTTTTTTTGAAATTTTAGGAATTTCTAATTAAAACGAGTCAAATAGGATGGTTTTCAATTATACTCATAATTATTTTCACCGAATTACATGTCAATCAGGTATAGAAATTATGTCCTTATTGTTTATCTATAGAGAAATCTATAACGGGCCATCTGTAAAATACATTATAATCTATTAATACTAAGACAAAAAAACAATAAATCTATGGATGTATCGGTTATTTAATGGCTATTTTTTTCGAGGCATTCAAGAAAATTGAATAATAATTAGTCTAAACATATTTTTCTTTCAACAAATACATAGAGAAAACATTTCTCCATAAAATGAGATGTTCGGCAGTTCGTGATTATTCTCAATAACCACGCTATAACAATTATTTTTTAGATGCTTGAATACCAGTTACAGCTAGTGCATACCTGTTTGTGAACTAATCAACTGTATAATACTCTATTAAAACATATATATGTATACTCTGTCTTTTGAATATATCAGCTTGACTTTGACGGTGTTAGTAGTCTATTTTACAAATATACTCAACAAAACTAACTGTTTTGTATCGATTTTAGATTCGATCGATATTTCTTGTCATATCCTGATAATCATCATTCTACAAAGTAGTTACATACGGAGCAAGCAAAGTGATCCTCAAAATAATTTCTTCACTTTTGTTTATGGTCAGTTGTTCTAATTTTTATTTCAAAAGTGTGCATTCAGTCTTACTGTGGTGTGCATTAGTCACGATACTAGTTCCGTCGGTCATTTATGCATTATTTTTGTGTATGTGTATGTATGTAACGCTGTGATAATCATATTTTTATGAAAGACCCAGTGCTTTCTTCTAGAGATGCATGTTGTACAATTAGTTTATTTTAGTTAAAAAAAAGATTGTACCTACTTTTTTTTGTGTTTTTTTTTGTTTTATTGTTATTTTTATGTTACACTCAGGATTTATCATAGTGAACATTTATTTTTTATTAAAAAACAAATTTTTTTTCTCAATTATAGAGACATCAATCATTGAGTAACGGATGTAACTAACTCGTCATTAATACATAAGCAGATAGATGCAGCGGAAACTGACTCGTCATTAATACATAAGCAGATAGATACAGTGGAAACTGACTCTACTTATAATTCATTCAATTATTTTTTATGAAACAATAGTCACATTGCCAGCTTGTTTGTTGTCCATGAGTTGATTTTACTCTCATTTCAGATACTCTTATTTGTTTAATATGGAGAACTTGACTTATTGGGATAATTATAATGCAGCGTTACAATGGATGAAATTCTTTCCAATTCCTACATTAAACGAATCCTCTAGTCAACTATATCAGCAAGATCATGTAGTAAAGTCAGAATGTAATGATGAGCATGACAATTCTGAATTAGAATTTGTTATTGATGATGAACTACTAGATTTTTTTCGTATATCACAAGAACATAAACAAGAACGAGGCAAGTTTGACTATTTCCACATTTCTACACATATATATTTATTTAAACAAAATTTTTCTTCACTCTAGAAATTAAACGTTCAAATGCCAGTAATGTAGTAGAACAGGATGTCGAACATATTCAAGGTGAACAAAGTGAGTAGTAAAGGAGATTACCGTTTTGTTTTTAGAAAAGTATAAATCACTATTTTATTATTTGAGTGCGACCAAATACAATATCCACAACAAAGTTGCCTCCTATTAATCGTTCAAAACTACGACAACTTGAATTAGAATGGTTATACGGTAATAATCACTCACAAAACATTGGTTACATGGAAACTGAAATACAGATGGAATTTGATAAAACGTTTGATTCAAAACGTCCACCATATTTTCCGAGTTTACCAAATCGATTGTAAGTTAACAAATTGAAATTCAACTTTTTTTTCGACGCCAAGAACATTGAGACTTTTTGCAAGGAGTTTTCTCCATGAATAATTTAATGGAAGCACATAAGCATGTTTGTTTTGCATTTTTTGGATAAAACCGACTAGTTTTAACGTATAATACTACGAATTAGAGTATTTCAGTTCTGATCTCTCAAAATAAGTCCAAAAAATGTGGACGAAGTGTATTGTATAATTCTGCAGGGTCATACAATACAACATAATTCTGTGCACAAAATATATGTATATCCGCAGAATATGGACAAAAGGTCGATGGAGTATTTCCAGACATCAATCAAAAGCGGAAAGATGTTGTTACAGAGAAACAAAAAAATAATATACCTACAAAGGTTGAGATAAGCTAGGAGCAAACGCTTAGAGGAAATCACCACAATCAACATAAAAAGCGATGGAAATTGCGTTGATTGTAGTGATTTCTTCCCAGCGTTTGCTCGTAGCTTATCTCAACCATCTAAAGACACAATACAGAATGATTAACAGAGCAGTAGATAGAGATCTTTTGTTTCAATTCAATAAATGTCTCTCATCTACATAGACTATTTTTCGATGAGAATTTACCTTATTTAACCAGGACTATTCGAATGAGACGATTTAGTGCATATATCATTCTGTAGATATCAATATAGCTTAGTTTGCTGTATAATTCTAGGTAAACAGAAGTGGTAAATGAGGTTAAGAGTTTCTTCACACTATACGCAGGGACGCTGAAGTCAAGGAATTGAGCGAATCGTAGATGAGAGTTTCCTTGTCTTTCTAGGATATTAGATCCAAATATGACTGGTCAACAACGCTATGTTCCTTTCACAATCCTTAAAAGTAAGAACATTAATGTCATTTACTTCTGCATATAAACTGTTCCTTCTTCTTTTAGAGACCTAAATTCGACTAGAAATAGTTATCCATCAATTCGCGTGAAAGACTAGTGAAAAATGAGTTGCAATAATACTAGATACAATACCATTGAGAAATATGGTTATGATAAATATTATTCAACTACATACTAACTTAAAATTAAACTAAAATTTATATATTTTTTTGAACGTCTGATGTATCTTCCGACTTTGTTCATTTTAAACTCTCTTGAAGATAAATGTAACTTTGTTCTTGTACATATCAATTCCATTTATAAGGAAATGTCTTTCCAAAATAAAATGAATTAGAAACGATTTGTACAACAAAAAAGTGTAGATCAATAAAAAACAATCTTGTATATAAAGAAAGATCGGATTAAAGGTGACAAAGTCATAGAGGCTCAAAATGGTCTTCGTGAAGTTTTCAAAAAGTTCATCTCCACAGCTTTCAGCTTACTCCGCCGTCTATGGATCAGACGGAAAAGATCATAACTGTTTAAATAGTTGAGGGAATCCAAATTTTTTGAAGTCATAAAGTCTTTCTTTACAACATCTGATGTTTTTAGCCGAATATTTAGTGGATGAATGAGATTTGTTGGCTGCGCATACCCATTGTAGCACTTTTTGAAGAAATTGTGCCATTCTTTTTTTTATTTATTATTTTCTTCTAATGTAACGTTTTGTTCAAATAATTCTATTTAAATTCATTTCTACCTTGATGAATCTCATGCTAGTAGTATTTACAAAAATATACTTAAATAACTATTGTTTCCATTTTAAAAAACAAATTTAAATTAATCATTTGCAAAAACTTTCTCGTCTTATAAAGTAGAGTTGATTTATATCAATTTATGTGGGTCGAACATGCGCTTTTTAAAATTTGGTTAAGAAAAGATTAAATTTTTGGCTGTTTTCCGTTCACTATATTAGAATAAAGATATTTGTTCAAATTTGATGTGTCACATTCTGATTATTCCTCGTCGAAGACAAACATCGGATGTTAAATATTAAGTGTGTCGAAAGACATTCAACATTTGTGTTGGAAATTTTTCTTTTTCTTTTTACTTTACGACCTTTTTTTGAGAAAAGAGTACGGCCATGATCCAGCCAACTACTCATCGTAGAGAAGTTTTGAAAAAAGGACAGTGTCCTATTGAAACTGAAAATTGATCATTGCACGTTCTTAAAATGAATTATAGATTCAAACTCGGCGGTATAAACTCCATAAGTGGGCAAAAAAATGCCTATTGGATTTAGATTATTATTGTTATTTTTTGTCCGCCACCATTTAGTCAGAGTCTTTCTTTTTCAAATTTCCTTCATTGTTCTTTATTTTTTTTCCTTTAGTACTAATTTCCACAAAATGTGAACGCAATGATCTAGCAAACTACGGATCGGATCGTAGAGACATTCTGAAAATGTGAGATAGCTTTCTGGGTACTGAATGTGGATCATTTCATAGTTTTTCTCTTAAACAAAAGTCCAGATCCAGCGCGATGCGTTTCACACGTGGAAGAAAAATGTGTCGTGGACTTCGAAATTTTTAATATATTTCTAGTTGCCCAGCGCCCGTTTGTTTTTGTTGACAGAATTAAGAAATGAATTTGTGTACATATCTTCTAATTAGTGAATTTTTTTCACATACATGCACCTAATAAAAGATATACTAATTTCTTTTAAATAATACTTAAAACTTTATTACTCCTATAAATAACATAGAGAAGAATAAAGTTTTCCAATTTTTTAATGATCTTTCTGTCTCTATTAATGTAATCAGTGTCTGTCGACATCGCAACTTGTGCGCAGTACAATTGCATTCTAGTTTTTTCTCGATTTAGACGAGAACAAAAATTTTAGCAAACGTATATGATGTCAGATGATCTTTACCAGAAATAATTTTCTGAAGATAGAGAATACCTGCATTTTTAATATAAAAGTCTATTCTTAATATTTGACACAGTTTTCTTTTCTTTCTTGAATAAAACAATTATTGTTCTACAATTTAGGATAGAAAAAAATTCTTTAAAATATGAAAAACATCTAAGAACTCACATAAGAGGACATTTACTCTGCATTCTGAAAGCAGACATATGTACCGACACAAATACGTTTTTATCTCAACTAGCTACTGTTGAAAGACGTACTTCTTAGTTATATGGACGTGAGAAAATTTTGGTCCAAGAGAAGCGATAGCAGCAGTATCCAAGATCGTTCCATCAATAATCTTAGATAACTCTTAAACGTAAATGAACGCTCAAGTCTCGACTTAATCTAATTAAAACTTGATTCATGGTTTTTCATCGTATAGTCTGTATTAAGTGTTGACTTAATAAGTGTTAGTTTTGACTCAGTTTTGTACTAACTTCATGGAACATGATCTTAAGTTAAACGTTGACGCAAGGTACCCTCGGAGTTGTCTTAAATGGACAATCCACTTATGTAGTGGTACCTTACTTTTGCTTCTATAAAGGTGGCAACAGTGAAAATCCGAATAAAAAGACTGATCGCGGTGAAATTTTTGCCAGAAATAGAGCAGACGTAAATTTCTCGCACTTCGTCCAGGAGATTGAAAATGCAAAAAACCAGTTGTTTTTGGTTATTTTGCCTTTCATCAATCTCAGGTAAAGATTCCCGTTCGACAGATCTAGTTTTTCTAAATCGAAATTATTTTTGAGAAGTGGAATGTCGCTTATTTTGAAGACAATACGTGATTCTGTATATATTGACATTTCCAGCTAAAATTCAGAAATTTTATTATTTTGGCTTTCGAAAAGAGAAAGGATGAGTTTTTAAATCAATAATATAGAGCGACAGTTAAACAACTTAAATGTTGGCTTAACTCCGTACTCAAGTTACTGAATTTAAGAGTATTAATGAACGATCCACTGTTGCTTTTGTGAACTAGCTATCAATGACTGGTTACATTATCCATTATGGTAAATACCAGTTCATACATTCTTACCTAATAAAGTTAGATCATGTGAATGTGGTAATTTCTCTTATATCAAATAAGATATTTTTTCAATGGGTCTATTCTCGTGAACACATTTGGTTACTTGATAAGCACTTAGACGTGACCTTGCATAATGTTGAAAAAAATGTTAAGTACGTGCAATTTTATTTGATCAGTTGTATAGCATCGCACAAGTGTCTGCACGTTATTTGTCAAAATGCTTAAACAAATAATCTTCAAGTGAAAAATCAAGTACCTTTGTGTGAGTCAAGCATTTACAAGTAAATTTACTTTTCAGAAAAAAGCAAGTATGAGCTTTATTATGCAAGTAGTGTTTGTTCAAGTACTTGTGCTCAAATGCATTAATTAGAGTAATTTATCCAGGTTTGATTGAACAATATTTCGCTTTTAATAAACTATTACAAGTTGACTTTTTTGTTTCAGTCGCAGCGTGTACGCAGTTCTCATTCCACGATCGTGACCAACTTTTATTTTTCAAAAAATCTGGACATCGCGCTTGTGACGTTTTTTTCTCCACATCGAACAGTATCAGCGAGAAAATCCAAGTTTTTCGACTTGAAAATCGTCGGCTTTGAAACTCCTTAGTATTATTGGTATGATATTTTACTTTTATATTTTTTAAATTTTTTTTAAATATATTTTTGTAGAGAATTGAATTGCGCATCTTTTAAAAAATATTTAAGTCTGTGCCATAAAAACTAAAAGAGATTTTGAGAAAATACTAAGACTAACATTTATTCTGGCGCACCCGTTATATATTTTCTGTTTATACATTTCTTTAAAAGGTGCCGTAATGGGTAGTAGCAGTTTTTGTTACTGTACAAGTATTGTTTAACATCTTTAAAATACACAATTAGTAATAATCAGTGTTTGTTTGATAGTGGACGGATCACTATTATCGAAGAAGAATAAATAGTACACTAAGCAATTACGACGCGAGAATTATTGCACTGACACTTTCATTATTGGAATAAAACACTATCTTATTATGGAGTCATTGCCTGATCAACAGAATGCTACAGATAAGAACACGAAACGATGATGATCACAACGTTATTGTTACGACTTTAGTGGTATTTTCGAAAGGTCTTATTTTTATTATCATACCTAGACTACATCTTGAAACTGAGTATTCATTCACTCTCTGAGTTGTTTCGTGTTGTTTCGACTTCCCAGCTGGATGCAACTATGCCTGCAACAAAGTCGTAACCGATAGGGCCGGAACTGGACCAGACTGGACGGAACCGGTTGAAAAGTTCAACTAGCCGGTTCTTGTACTGGAGATTACCGCATTAGCTTTTTGAAAAGTTTGTGGATTTTATCCTTGCGTTGAGCTCTGGGAAAGTCATGAATATACTCTAGTTGGATTGACATATTGACATCGTATTTACTGAATGAAAACAAATTTTTTTCTTAAAATTTTTTGGAAAAATACCGTAAATTTACGGTACAAGAAGATTTTCTACCGGTCATACTGGTAGAAATCAATTTCCAAAGTGACCGGACTGATTGCAAATTTCTTTACCAGTTACAACTCCGTGTCTAAGTAGGAAAAATCCGTTTTACACCAGTTTTCTGGGGTTTGAACAAAATACGAAAAAAGGACTTAACATTGAAGTTTTAGGTAGCATGACACAGTTGGCGCACTAGATATTGGCATTTTATTATATAAACTTTCAGAAAAGAGGAGATGTTTTATGGATGCGGCGGTGAAGATAGATCAATTTTTCAAATAATGTTTTCAGACAAAAACTTTTGTCAGGAAACATTATTAAAACAGTTATCCGCTTTTGCAATGTTCGCGCCGTATACTGGCGTTATAATTTATATTAGTATCTGAGGTGGTATTATTTGTCATTTATAACGTCATGATTTTCCTCCCATTTTCTCATAGCTCTACTCAGTTGCTACTTCTCATTCCTTATGTAAATAAGAAACTGGTGTCACCTACCCACATCGTTAATAAACGAACGTTTCATATTATTTCTGCGAAAATATTCGTTTCTCAACTGAGTTTTGACACGTGCGTTGAAACGTGCAATTGTGCACGAGTGCAGTGTACAAAGGTCTATTATTCAATAGTTCTACAAAATCTACAAGAATTACAGCGACTTTCACGCCATTTTGCATACTTAGATGTTTTTCACAAAACTCGTGATTCAGACATAAGCACTCATGATGACGTGAAGAGCAATGAATAAGAACTGATTTTATTGTTACGTTTTTTACATATATGCGATTATTTGATAATAATTTAATACATGGTAATATTTGACCATGTAATGTGGGGATCATTTCTTACATAGTCAGTAGAGATAGATCATTTATCTAATTTCATTTCATTCATCTTATCTAAACAAAAAGTCGAAGCTCACAGAAAACCTGTAACTTGCCCAGCTCCGCTTCGGGTACTTTTCAACGGAAGTCATGATTTGTGACTTGACTTGGAAAAACCTGAAACTTGACTCGACTTGACTTGCCCAGCTCTGATGTGGTCTTGCTTTTTGTTTCGTTGTCTAATTTAGTATAATTACGTGATAGGTAAATCATTTTTAGAACAAAAGATAGATAAATAAATATAGGTGGACATTTTCTTAATAAAACGAGATTAATTTCAGAAAGAAAATATAGATGACTGGATTCTGAGCGCTACTGTAGTAGAGCAACACAGAAAACGAAAAATGTGACTCTCTAGCATCTAACAGAAAATCTGTTACATTTGGTATGAACTGCAATTTTATTATTAAATCTGTAATTTGAACGCATATCGAATGAATCAAAATTTATTCAGGTTTGATTTATTAATAAAGTGAATCGTATCATCTTTATAAGGCATTTATCCATTTTGTCAACTTTTCGTGTATGCTGCGCAAACTATTCAGGATTAAAGAGCGGTGCCTACATTTTCGTATACTGTTCGAGTCGAACAGTATACGAACAGTAGTATGATACTATCAAAATAATAGGTGCACGAGTTTTTGTATAATGCGCCAAAATCACACAGATTTTTCTAGTGATTGTATAACTAAATTGTATTTTAGACATTCGAACTCATGCGAAAAATAAAAACATTTATTTTTAACATATTTATTATTTACTAGAGAAAAAAATAAATAATGTCACAAAAAAAATGTCTACAACCAATAATAAGTCAGATGCCCGGTCAAGAAGGATATAACGAGTTGTTACAGGCTCTTGAAGTAGATGGTAGACGTATTGGATATAATGCCATGAAAGCAGCACAAAAAGCTGAGCAATTGCTTGAAGATGATTTATTTGGTCGAAAATATTTGGAAACAATTCGTTCTCGAGCAAGAGAATGTGTTGTTAGTGTTCCATATGACACCAATAATTCACATGATCAAGGCGATTGTATGTCTCCCATAACAACAAATAAAATCCATTTGATTATTAAATGTAACGAACGTTTAGAAAATTTGTGTGATCAAATCAAACATTTAGGTTTTATTCTTATGGAAAATGCCGAAAAATTACGTGGTCTAATTGATTTGAATATAGTTAACGTTGATAATGAAACAAAATCAGCATGGAAAAATGAATTAATACAAATGCAGTCAATCATTTCATCAAATTGTGCATTGATTATTACTTACTATCATGATAGAAGTCATACAAGTTCATATGTACTCAGACATCCCACCGTCTCTGATTCTTGGCAACAAATTATTGAAATTGATGAAGATTTCTTTTCAAAATTAAGAATTTTTCTGTTGAATTTAAGATTGTTTAATGTAAGACTTTATAACATTATACAAAATTGGTTAAATTTAAATGAATCCAAACAAGAATAATCGTTTTCAACATAAGAAATATTTTGATGCTTTTTCGTTCTCTATTCAAGTTGACTATTCGTTTTTTCTATATTATTTTGTCTGAGTAGTATCCATCCACTAAGAACAGAGATATTTTATTACAAAAATAGGAATTTGGTAGAAAAATTTTAAATTGCAATGAAGATTTTTTTATAATATAAAACACCAGCTGCTATTGTCCAAAAGAATACTCCCCATAAATGTATAGCTAATTTTTTTGCATGTGATTCACCCACTTCAAATTGAACTGGAAAAGATCGACCAAACATGTCATGTCCAACATAAAGTACAATAGAATTCATTCCCAACCACAAAAATGGACTTCCAGTAAACCATGTTTTGACATCAACAATCAAATAAAATATAGTTAAGATGACAAAAGCTAGAGAAGCCAATACAAGGACAAACGATAATGACCATAAATTTTTATTAATCGGAATCCAACTGTCGCTTTGGCCGCCCAGTGATAATATTAGACCAATTGTTCCACAGATTATGCCTGAAACTATCCAATGACAACAAACACGTATCACACGAGTTGAATGAAGAAAACTATGACCTGCTTGAACACCAAGATAGCATAATAATATTCCTGTTAATGTGCCAAGAATACCTAATGAGAAAAAAGATAAATCGAAGTAGTACTAATGTTGTATATACTAGTATCACACAAAGATCCATAGGAAATTAGCCTAACCTTCGGGATCGTAGGCTAGTTTTGTATCGTAGACTCCTTTACACGTTGGATCATTATACATATGAGATGGGTGCAACAAATAGCGATCGATATATCCCGACGCTCCCCCTGTACAATTTTCAAATTTGCCATGTCGATGTCGACCTCCTGGTCCAAGATAACCTCTTCCACAGCCAGGTACATCAACTAAAAATGTAATTAATAACCATGCGATTGTAATCAATAATACAAATAACCATTGAGGCCAATACATCAACATTGCACGAAGTTCCGTCGACAATGGTTGGTCAACGCTGTTGCTTAGCGGCGAACGTGCGTCAATATCATACGTATCGAATAATAGTTCTAACACAGCTGTAAAAAAATAACATAGAGCTAGACGTTGAAGAACACCAAATATTCGTAGTTCTTTCAATGTTCCGTTGCCTTGGCGACCTTGTAGCGCCAGTCCGAGGAGAAATAGAATAATGGTACGACGCACAATTTTCGTAAATATACGAGTTTTTCTCACATTTTTTGAACGCATTGACCGTTGTGAAAGTACAATCGAAACACCCATTACCCAAGTAAACCAAGGAAAGACCAAATCGGCTATGGTCAGACCATTCCATACTAAAATTAATAGAAAACTATCCTAATGTTGAAAATCAAAAAAAAAAATCTCACTTGAATGATCAAAAAACCAATAACCTCCTCCTGGAAAAAAAAGCATAAAAAAATGTATTTAAACTACTATAAAGGTAATTGTCCAAAACCAATTCACTCCACATGAAGAGGAAGTTTGATTAGAACAATTATGAAGTTTTAAAGATAACGAAAAGATAAGAAAAGGTCGTCTCATTCTACAACATGAAAAAGTCGTAACGATCGGTAAAACAGAACGCTGTTTCTCACCCCCATAATTGACAAATATCATTATCATTAATGAAAATCCTCTGAAAACATCCAATCCTCTTAAACGTTTTGGAAGAACTTTTTTGAATTGCATCGTATTATTCGATAAACGATTTTGTCCAGTTCCTGTATTTTCAAATATGTCACTATCCCGAGTGTTAGTAGCTCCTTCATTTGTTGGAGATCCATTTACTATTTCTAAGTTGCTCGTTGATACTCGTTGCTGTTTCGGTGTACCCAAGTCATTATTAATAAGTCGCTGATAAGCAACGTTTGATAATAAACGATCCATATACCGGCTATGATAGAAACGATGTAAAAGTTGAGTCAGAAATATACAAACTATAACGAACACAATTCCAACAACAAATGGTAACCAAACGTGATCAGGATTTTTTTTTTTTATTATTGAACATTCATTAGATCCTTGTACCGTTCGTTGATAAACGTCGAAAATATAATGACCATGTTCATAAAATTCATATTTTGTTATGTTACATCGAACGGGATAAGACACTGTACCATTTGTAAAGTTAATTTGAATATTATAGCCATATTTTGTATCTAGTTTAACTGATACATTATTATGCATATTCACTGGCACTTCGGATAGTAATAGTAGATTACATTTTTCACACTCTGTTGTTTGACCATAAAACATTACAGGATAGGTATAGTTAAAGTTACGGAACGTAACCAGCGCTTCATCTAGTCCTAATTCATCTGACTCATTATCTGTAATCATCACCTTTTGAACTGGATCTCCATATCGACGACGACGAAATATATTAGCATTTCCTACGGCTACTGAAAGAATGAGAAGTAACAAGTGGAAGTTAGACATAAATCTAAGCCGTTGTTTTATGGTCTCCACTAGAAAATTCTCTGAAACGGCAAAAAATATACTAAAAATTAATGCAACAATCTAACTTCCTTATAATAGTGACTAAAAACTAATATTATTCTAGTAATTCAATACGAAAAAATCCGACTTAATAAACTTTGTGTTCTCAGACGTAAATGCTTATTTACTTAGAACTTTTTCTAAAATATTCAGCGATCATTTTAGCTATAATAGTACATATTGTGAGAAAAATATTTTTAATCGAAAAATATTTCCTTTTTTTCTAATACCATAGAAAGTTGGGAAACATAATATGATCTACGAGTTCTAACTTCATCATCAAAACACTTATCTGTTAATTTGACTGTTATCGATAAATGTTTAATGTGCTTTCGGAATTAGATAGATGTTATAAGACGTATACATTCTGATATCATTCTTCGTCGTTGAAAAGGCATGTGAAAAATAATCTCACACTTGTTTCTTAATTTGTTACTTGTTGTTTTTTACTTGTATTTTCTATTTACAAATACTGATAAGAACGTTATTTAAACAGTATGAAAGTTTTACTTACGTTTAAATGTACCTGTTTACTTTTAATAATGCATGCACTTTATATCCCTATAATATCCCTCGATAAGATATAAGACGCATATAATTCAAACTTGCAGTGGATTTTATTTCTGACTTTATTGTAGATATTCTGAATCGCCACATTGCGACGATCACGAATATCACCTTCTCAGCCTCGAAAACCACTTCCTTCATGGTCAAAACCTCGCATTATCGAAAAGGTCTCAAAAACGCCAAAATCGTTCGTTTTGAGAAAAGTCGATTTTTTCTGCAACCATTTAACGTTTCGTCTTAAATTTTTTTTTCAATTAATTCGCCACCTAAAACTGAACAAGACCACGTACTTGAAACCGCTTTTGAACAATTGTTCAAAAGCGGTTTC